CCATATAGAGGGAGGAGCAAGGTGGGAGAAACAACCATACATCAACCATTAGAGACAAACGAAGAAAAGATCTGAGATGCCAATCGATGGAAGCAAAGGCGTCTTGCGCCAGATACCAAAATTACTCAGAAGAATGGAAGAGAACATCACTACAATACCTGCCCCCCCCCCCCCCCCCCCCCCCCCCCCCCCCCCCCTCTCTCTCTCTCTCTCTTCACAACATCCCGATGCAGACAGTTCGTCGCCACACACCCACACAGAGTTGTCACCCCGATTAGTCCGAGCATACACAACAGGTTCGCCCGTGCGCCACAGTCCGTCGTGGCCCCACATCAACCCCGCATACCCAGCACCAGCTCGTCGGGCCGCCCAACTCTCTACTCACCTTCCAAATCTTGCTCGTTAGCCGATCCTCTCGACCGCGCTAACTTCCAGGAGTCTTAGAGAGCCAGTTAATCGTGCTTGTGAGATTTATAGCATGCACGCTTGCGCGAGATACCCAGGGTTGTGGCTAAGTGGGAAAAGAAGGAGGAAGGAAGTGCCTACGTCCTCATGGCCAGGCCACGGCGTGGGGGACGGAGCCTCGCTCCACACATCGATCCAGTCATGCAAGCGTTCCGACCAATTAGGACAGAGGAAGAAGTACGCGCGCACATGGACGCCACAAAAAATTTCAAGAACAGGAGGATTAGAGTTGCAATTATGCCCGCCAAAACAGAAATTACAATTACACGCAAGGATAAAGGCGCAAAAAAGTCAGAACACAGATCTTGACGCGGCAAGGCGTGCGCCAGCACGAAGCGCCGTGCAACAAGAATCGAGACGCGCCTAAATTCCTAATCTAAATCCTAATTGCAAAAAGAAATTCCGAACGGAGCAATTTCCGAGAGCTCACGGGGGCTCGACCTCAGTTTAAAAATTCAAAAAGATTTTTCTGCACGACGACCGAGCCAAAATTCCCATTTGGCGCAGCATAATAAGAAAGAAGCTATGGCAACAGTTATCTGTCGCGCTCGCTAAGGTGCGACCAACTACCAATCGTCACAAGATTTCCCCGGCGTCGATTTCGAAAAACAAGAAAAGCAAGGGCGCTCATGTAATTCCACAGACCCTCCCGATTCAACCCCCGAAGTAGCCTTGCGCAGAAAAGTTGCAGAAAAAAGTTCGTCACATATGTGAGGCCCAGGGGGTTCTAATCTTGAGCAAGCTTCTGCTTGCTCTCCCAATCCTCCATCGACCTTGCGCGGAAGCACCAGGAGCCGACATGTGCCACTTACCGTGAGATGAGAGTGTGAAAGTCATCCAGGTGGCACTGCAAACTTTGATCCTAGAGATTGTCGAGGAAGGGTAGCCTTATGACAGGTGGGGGAGGAGGAGGATGAACTTGTGGGAGGGGTGGCAGAAAGCGGCGGAGTTGTCGATCTCCTGCAGGGAGTCGGGTGTAGTGGACGATGCGATGAACGCGAGGGAAACGATGATCTTGATGAGAGAGCGAGGCGGGGTAATCAGGATAGAGGGTACAAAGCATCGAATAGTTATGGGATGACAACTAAGGGACTAGGAGTGTTGTCGCGTTGTTTGATGTGTGTGTGTGTATTTTATTTTTGTGACGAGGTTGGTCCAACTCCTGCGTGACGCGGCCGAGAGGGTCCCGCGCTGCGGCGTGCGGTGCCAGACCGATGCGCCCGACAGTGGGGTAATCAGGATAGAGGGTACAAAGGGTGCGGGAAATCGTGGCGTGGAAATTCTCATGCTCTTCACATGCGGGGATGGTACCCGCGATTATGCAATAAACCTCAGAGTCTATATTATTATATTCCTGCCATGCCGCACTAAAGAGAAGGATATGAAGGGGAAAGGAAGTTACGAGAGAGTGAGTGGTGGCGTGCGGGAAAACGGTGGCGATGAGGCAGGTAGAGTAGAATTGGTGGAAGAGGGAAGGTGGGAAAGGATGCCAGTTAGAAGGGAACGGAGGACGACCCGCGAGTTGATGGAGGGTGAGGTAATAAAGGGGACAGCGGGATAACGACCAGGGACGAAGCCCGAGCGCCCGCATCTTCACGTAGGCGAACGGTGCGCCGCGGTGGTGGAGAGGATTGAGCCGGCGTTGGACTTCTTCTACGACGTCTGCTTCCGGATCCCTCCGCGGTCTTTCTCCTTTAAGGCCACAAAAGCTTTTACATCGCCCGTTTCCGCAAGTCCCTCAAGATGGGGACTTTCACTCTCTCTTATCTCTCTCTCTCTTCCTTTTGTCTGCGAGTCTCTACGGGCATCAAAATATGAACTCTGGAAAAGAAACAGACTGAAAAGTTCAAAGAAGAGAAGGTAGAACTCCTAGCCGGAGCGGTATTACATTTTGACTAGAGAGCAGCAAACCAAAAAAGAGAAAAACAATTTCACAGGAGAGATTTAATCCAGCGACCCAGTCTGATCAGACTGCATACGAGGTCCTCTCGAGTACAGTCTGACCAGCTCTGTGACCATTCAACAAATCAGACAACGAGTGACTAAATGCAACAATGGAGGATTGAGTGGTGTATAGGGTGCGAGTCAAGCCATGGACGGTGCGATCGAAAGCATGCGAAACGTCTCAGCTGAGATCCCCTCGGCAGTGGGTGTCCTAACCAAGAAGAATAAACTCCGGATCTCAGTCAAGAAGAGAATGGACTAATGTCTAACAGATTCGGATCCAAGGGCTCTTCTTGTTTTGGCCCGGTCCCGCTGGGTCCCATGTAGGTCGTGACCGAGTCCCAACCAAGAGGAGTCCCACTTGGACTAAGTTTCTGCTTCTAACATCTTGAAAACGAACTTCAACCTCCGGCAGAACCTATAGACTACAGCCGTTCAGAGATGAAAAGACAAAGCACTGTAGAAGGAATCGACATTCAAATCAAGATACTTCGTTTCTCCATCCATCAAGTGAGTAGGTAGTTCACACACATTCAATCACACAATCAAGACCACAGAGGAGTAGAAAAGAAACCCAGAGTAACCCCAGCAGGACAATCAATACCATGCGCACATACATGGGCATCCCGTAGGTGCACAACACTTACCTGAGTGGCCTGAGCTTGGAGATGAATAGAACTCACCCCCCTCTCATGTGATCCTCTTGACCCCTTTAACACTACCCCAACACTAGTGTCCTATTTCCTAGGAGGGTCTGACTCCAACACCAAAGTGCAACGTCGGGTCCCCCGCCGATGCTGAAGAACCAAGTAGCAACTTGCAGTCCGGAGATGCTGAATGGCCGCTGACCCTCAAGTTCGCCTACTTGAGGGCAGCCCTTAAGTTGCCAAGTGCCTCCCTTGAATCAGATTCCAGGTGCGAGTGCCTCTCACTGTCGCCTCTCTCAAATTGCCGCATGAAGTCTCCACGAAATGTCTTGCCACCCTAATCTCACTCTCAAGCAACCTGGTTAGGTCCAATGTCGACCCCACATGACCTAACCAGGTGGGGGCAGCTTCCCTTAGCCATGCTGCCCCACTTCCCTTACATTCAACCCTAACCCTAAGTGTTGTCCTCAACCACTTAGGTTAGGGTTAGGGCAGCGAAGTCAACTCTCACCAGCAAGTAGAATCCGCTCTGATACCAATGTTATGATCCTGGCCAATTTCGAGATACACATTCATCAGATAGTACAATGCCATCCAGTTGCATAAAGAAATGAATGAACTTGAGAGGAGAGAGAAGGTAAGAAGAAGAAGAAGAAGTAAGAAAGAAGAAGAAGATGATGTACACCAGCATAGACAAATGATGAAGGTCTTCTTCTTCGCTCAACTCTCTCTTCCTCCGTATCTCCTCCTCTCTTATTCACACAAGAAATAATAATACAATGTTGAATAGCTGAACCAGAATCAAAGTCCGAATCCCTCTTCTACTGCAGGTATCACTTGAGGTCCACCATAGCCATGGCCACCTCTCCCACTCTTCACTCTCATAGGCCGAGGCTATGGCGGACTACTAGGCTTCGCCCAGATATCCAAAGGACAACCCAAAGCAGCTATGGCTGCCCTTGCTCAGGCAGCCATGCCTGATTCTGCCTCGAAGCTTCTTGGTGTAGCTCAACTCCAGCTGAGGCCTTCCTGCTGCAGCGCCCACCAACATGATGAAGATGGCTGCCACCATAGCCAGATAAGTACCTCTGGCGCTCCTCCCCCTTCCTGTCCTTCTTCCTCCTCTGAGTCCTTGCTTCTTCCCCCAACAGCGCTGCTCCAAGCTAGCGCTGCTCCAGCCAGCGCTCCAACCAGTGTGTCGCCAAACTTGCACACCGACAATGAGGCCGGGCTCTTCGCCCGACTTGGAGATATAGCGGCCTGCTTTTTTCTTGGGCGGTGACTTCCAGGCCGCTCGGCCTTCCAAGCAACAGGTACCTCCTCCCTTTCGGAGGGAGATATTGCCCGTACAGGCCCTAGACCCAGACTGGTTGACTGGTACCCGCCTAGACCTAGCCTACAACTACTGGGCCTCTCAAAATGCCACTTTTGTCTTCTTCTGCTCGGCCTCCAGTACCCGCACATCTACCTCTTCAGGGTGCGGTACCAGCCTACCTGCTACTTGAGTGTTTTCCCCCGCTGCAATCCCTCAATGTCACGGCCACAGGTAAGTACCGGCCATGAGGGCCCAACGAACGAACAAGACTTAGTGCCCTTACGGGCCACACACACACCCAAGCCAACCAGCACTCAGACAGACATGCAGTCCAGCAGCGTGCACACACACAGACTTAGTAGCAAGCGGGAAACTCAGCAAGTCATTCAGTCCATGAGCAAAACTCGGAAATCAGCCGTTTGTTTCAGTCCATGTTTGCTCGGGTCATCACATTTTCTTTTTCTGTTTGGTTCCGGTTGTTAATTAGGACAAGGTGACGGAAGCAAGATAACTACCACGTGGCAGCTTTTTTCCTCCTCCTCCCAGCTACTGGCGCATCCACAAGAGAAGGGTGTTCGTGCTATCCGATATGACACGCATCACAGTAGAATTAATTCGAAAGCGGGCAGAGCATAATGAGGGCATAATTGCCACTTTGCAGGTTCGTGGGGACCAGTTCTCAGGCCGGGTCTTTTCTCCTCCTCCTCCTCCTCCTCCTCCTCCTCCTCCTCCTCCTCCTCTTCTTCTTCTTCTTCTTCTTCTTCTTCTTCTTCTTCTTCTTCTTCTTCTTCTTCTTCTTCTTCTTCTTCTTCTTCTTTGTCTCCCTGTCCTCTTCCTTCTTGTCCTTCTTTTTCTCTTTCTTCTCTCGTTTTTCCCTTTCTTCTCTTTCTTCCTTTCCTTTTGCTTCTCTTTCTTCCATGATGGCCAGTTGTGGCTTTGTTCTGAAGGCCAAATAGGTAACTAGGCTGTGTGTGAGCATCAGAATGGCTTTCTTCCATTGAGCCCAGCGAGCTTTCAATTTCATAGATGCTCTTACCATCCCCGAAATGGCTACCCTGTGCACATATGTTTCTCAGAAAAACAAAATAAAACAGGGGTGTGTGTGTGTGTGTGTGTGTGTGTGTGTGTGTGTGTGTGTGTGTGTGCGTGCGGGTATTTCGAGAAACATCTCAACCGAGAGCATCCTCATTTATTTCTATCATTTTCCCCCCATGCTGTCTGAGATTGATCCAAAGAGACTGATTGATTATGCAAACAAGTTGCCATTGGTGGGAAAAAGAAAGGGGGAAAAAAAAAAAAGATGGCATTGGTGGGAAATATAGGCAGAGTTCCAGAAACAATAGCGGAGGGACCACGACTGATGATGCATGATGCTTTTCATGAAAGACTTGGGTGGCATGACTTGGTTCGCATGAAAGACAGGCATGAACTGAAATGGAGATGCACAGAAATCGAGAAGTGGTTCGAAAAAATCGAGCATGAACATGAAAGACTTGGCTGAAAGACAGACATGAAAGATGACTCCTGCGCAAGGATGATGCACAGAAATCGAGAAGTGGTTCGAAAAAATCGAGAAAAGGGATAGCGACAGGAAATTTCAGCGGTGTCCTTCGGGACATCCGTTAAAATTGGAACGATACAGAGAAGATTAGCATGGCCCCTGCGCAAGGATGACACGCATAAATCGAGAAATGGTCCAAATAAAAAAAAATAAAAAATAAAAAAAATTCAGCGGACTCTCACCGGCTGATGCTGGTGAGGAGTCTGAACCCTCAACAGTCTGCAGCATCCCATTTGATTTTTTTCTGCAATTGGAGTCAATTTGAAGCTCTTTCGATGAGACCTGTTGCGAGTGGACAGCCAGGCGGGCGACAACAAAAGGAGCAAGACAAAGCAGGCAGCAGTAAAGCAAAGGGTGGGTGGTGGGTCGTCCGGGGGTTTGGGGCAGCTGGGCAGCCGGAGGCATAGATGTTTGAAAAAAAAAAAAAAAAAAAAAAAAAAAAAAAAACAGCAGCGGTTGAAGTAACAGCCACGTACACCGTCCAGCAGACAGGAAGGGAGTCAATTTGACGAATGTTGAAAAGAAACAAAAGAAAGAGAAAAAGAATGTCAGTGATCACCACTGAACACAAAGACAGGGATTGCGAACAGCACAGCCCCGAAAAGCATTGCAAGCACGTGTAACAAACGTGCACTGACTGTTTGGCACATCTTGAAGGTGCTGCACAAGAAAACTGAGGAGGAAACTTTTCTGTTGGGGGTACGTAGGGCGCAGTCACGATGTCAGTTTTAAATCCACTTCAGCCACCCCTCTTATACAACACATCCCCACCAAGCGCTAAAGCTGGGTTGTATACATTCACGTTTTTCCTGGGTTTGGCGCAACATTCGTGAGATCGTGACTGAAACACATTTTCAAACTGAAACCATGACAGCGCCCTAGTTTTCCCTTCTCCCTTCTTCCCCCCCCCCCCTCCAAAAAAGAAATGTTGCCCAAGATATTCTCGGGAGTTGCGCAGGCATCCCAAACATGGTTCCTTTCTTTTTTTTTTTTTTTTTTTTCTCCCTCCCATTCATGGTTCTTACTAGGACAGCGTTCCATGTTTGGACTACTGTGCATCTTCGAGAACTGTGTCCCCCAGATATTCATCAGGGTAAAAACCTTTTTGGCAGTGGATCCGATATAATCGAGTTCTGAACTTCTGATTAAAAAAAAAAAAAAAAAACAAGAAAAAGATGACAGCAATTTTCACTGCTACATTTGAAGATCGACTATATTGGACCCTTTTTTTTTTTGGGGGGGGGGGGGGACATTGGACCTCATTAGACTACCTCAGGGTGTACTCACACTATCCTCTTCATCTGAAGGTAGCTGGATTTGCGCTTGAGTCTGTATTTCAACAGCTCAGGGGTGTACCAACTGAGCTAGGCCAATTGGTCCCACTACGGCTTTTTTCTACTAACCTCTGGACGTAATTGCAATCAGATTCATCGAGGCCGGGCTGGAATTGTGATCAGATACGTTAAGGAAAGTGCCAGTGTGAGTATGCACTCAGTATTTTTTAATTATTATCTAAACCAGCGGTACAATTCTCGAGGCTCTTTCTCCCGACGCAGATGTCCCCTGTGCGCCAAAAAACTAAAAATGAACCAGCAATGGGCGTTCAAGGTTTTCTTTCTTCCTTGCCTGGCGCTGCCAGCCATTGAGGTCCAGTAGCACTATTCATCTGAAATTGAGGTTGGATACGATTCGTAGGACACCATTGCCTGTGAATGGTACTGGCGGTTTAAACCACGAGGACCTTTCCCGTTTATGGGCTGCGGGCAGAAAAAAAAAGGCCCGAAACGGAAACAGGCTCGCCGTCTCCACATGGACACCGGACGCTGGACCACGGACACCCTCCCCTGCGGCCATGTATTTTTGTATGAAAATGGTTGTTGTATGAAAATGGCCGCGGCCAGGCCACAAGGAAACGTCCTCGGGGGACGTCCCCAAGGATGTGTGGAACGACGCCACAAAATTCCCTTATGAGCCAGGACCTTTCCCGTTTATGGGCCGCGGGCAGAAAAAAAAGGCCCGAAACGGAAACAGGCTTACTGTCTCCACATGGACACCGGACACCCTCGCCCGCGGCCGTGTATTTTTGTATGAAAATGGCCGCGGGCAGGCCACAAGGAAACGTCCTCGGGGGACGTCCCAAGGATGTGTGGAACGACGCTGCAAAATTCCCTTACGAGCCGCAAAAAAAAATCCTTGTGGCCAAAAAAAAAATAAAAAAATCCTTGTGGCTCAAGGAACACGTAAGGAGTGTCTAACGACGCTCATTGTCAAACAGAAGTGCCCGGTAGACGGTAGGCAGAGAGGGAGAAGAGGACATCAACAAACGAGAGGGTGTGACAGACTGTTTTGTTGGAGTTTCGCCGACTCGTCAGGAGGCCGACGATACTGACAGTTATAATCCACCTTAACCCCGGTTGCAGTTAAGCATCAATGACTGCCCATCGAGTCTGACAACTGATACCCTGAGGTGGGCACCAACTGCTGCCCTCAAGGTACCTGTGACAAAAATAAAAGCAGACTATCACTCATCCGCACCAGACGGAAAACTCTACAGACTGCAGGTTCACACCCCATGACGAGCCAGGAAAACGCCCACAACCCATCATAAGCCATAACCCAGCAAAACACCCACACCCCATCACAAGCCGGCAAAACACCCATGAAACAAAGAAAGGTCTCTCACAGCCAGAAAATACACTCTAGAAAGGTCTCTCACAGCCAGAAAATACACTCCAGACACACTGCTGGCACTAGAGGCATGGCATGCCCTAGTAGTGATCGCCCCGACCACTCACATTCAACCTGACCAGAGAAAACCGTAGCAGGGAGCTATCTAAGGTGTGTGTGTGTGTGTGTGTGTGTTTCCCCTCCTTTTTGTTTTTTTGGGAAAAAACTACGGCGCAGTCAAGGTTTTCAGTTTTAAATGCATTTCAGTCCGGTTTCGCCGATTTTGCTCCAAAGCGAGGAAAATCGTGAATGCATCCAACCCAGCTTTGAGTTTGGGTGGGAATGCGTTGTATTAGAGGGATGCATGAACTGGATTTAGAACTGAAAATGTGACTACGCCGTAGTCAACCCCCACTTTTTTTTTTTATATTTTAAAGGTGACCGGGAGCATCACCTGGCGTACCGTGCTCTGCCCAGTACAGAATCAGCAATCAAGATATATCTGCCATGGTTTCCCAGTGCCTGACAAACACTTTTTTTTTCAGTTTTTCAACCCCTCCGGTACGGTGCCCTATCAAAAAAGTTAAAAAAAACAAAAGGAAAAAGTGTTGCACCACAAAAAAGCTACTGACCCTGCCCTGCTGAGCCGGAAAGTCAGGCCTCACAGAGACTCTGATTGGCCTAGCCTAAGGCGAGAATAATTTTCGTGGGCAAAATTTCCCCGCAAAAACGTATGTCTTTGTTTCCTCAAATATTATTGCCTGATTCGGCAGAACCTTCCCTAGTACACGCCTGATTTGTTTCGGTCAAGGAAAGTGGGAATACAAAATTGCCAGAGTTAGGAACTTAGGGTACACAGAATTTTGCAAACCCCGGAAGTACCCCCTTTGGGCTGGCCCCCCCCTTACCGCAACCTGCTTGTATTTGGCCGCATTCTCCGGAAACTGGTGGTTTAAACCACTAGTACTACTTGGCCCAGTTATAGGCCACGGGGAAAAAAAAAAAAAAGAGTAGAAACATTTCTGGTCGGATGAATTTGGGCGCTTCTGTAGTGACCCGTACGTTTTCTAAAGTCATTTATTGTTTACGGGCACGACTTAAGAAAGTACTGGCGCTTTTAAGCTCACAGTTCTAACCAGGCTGCTTTTTTTTTTTTTTTTTTTTTTTTTTTAATACCGCAAGGTCGAGAAATCTCTCAGCAATTTTACAAAAAAATGGTACGGCACCCAGCTCCATCTCAGCAATTTTATATGTTATGTAAAATAATAATACAAACAACTTTTGCCTTGGAGGTATGGTCAAATTCGTAACCAAACTCGAGTTAAAAATCAAAAACCAAAAAAAAAAAAGTTTTTTTTTTTTTTTTTTTTTTTAATATGTTCGGCCGAACACGTTCGGGTGGCGTTCGGCCGAACACCCGAACATGTTCGGACGTTCGGAAAAGCTCCGAACATGTTCGGTGTGTTACACAGGTACATACATTAACATTAAACCACCAGTACTTACCACATTTTTCGTACCGCCCTGGGTCGAATCAATATGGACCCGAGGGGCAGGCCGATTTGGCTACCGCGTTAACGGCCACACCAACCGGTAGGTACTGGTGGATTAATAAAAATGCACCACGAGTCCTGATGGACTCAGATGGAAACAATAAGCCAGATGGGCGGCTGGGTGCCGTGCCAATTTTTTTGGCGCTACTGTAGTGGCCCGTACCTGGGCCAATAGTTGGGCCAAGTACATGAGCATTAATGAAAATGCACCACGAGTCCTGATGGACTTAGATGGAAACAACTAGCTTCGGCGCTACTCGCTTTCAAAAGAGAAAAGAAAGAAAACAAAATTCGCAACTGGTTGAACCATGCCTTGTTTTACAAGGCACTCCTACCGTCCTCACCGGAATAGAACACCCAATCATTATAGCCGGATTTCGCGCAATTTTTTTTAGTCCAGATACAGCTATGCTAACTGGCCGTTCTATTCGAGTGAAGACGGTAGGTCTCTAATAGCTGAGACAAAAGAAATCCCTCCTCTCCCCTAAAGCGCCAGTACACCACACATCGGCCCGCGGGTGTCAGCACGAAACCCGCACCACTTCGGAGGCCGCCTATTTTTTTTTTTCAACGGCGCCCCACGCCGCGCGGCCCCTCCGAGTTTTGCTTGTGGCAACAAAAAACTTTCTGCAAGGCTGGGGCAGTGTACTCGCGGTTTAAACCACCAGTACATGCCAGCTACTATCGGCCGCGGGCCCCTTTCGGAGGCCGCTCGCCACCGATTCACTTTATCTACGGCGCTCCGCCTCCTCAATTTCCGGCGAGGCTCAAAAAGAGGTTCTCCAGTTGCCTGGGGCCAACAGAATAACAGCCACTTCCCTTCTTTCCTTTCCGATCACCTCCAGAGCCTGGATGGTAGCCATTATGTTGTCAAATATAGATTGGCCTTTTACAAAAGCCCCTTGTTCTTTCCCTCTCAACCCTGGGAGATAGTCGGCGAGTCTGATCGTCAGGGCTTTGACCAAGATCTTATAGGCCACATTTAACACTGAGATCGGCCTTCTCCTAAAGCCTCAACCCTAAACCCTAAACCTAATTCCTCTTCCCTCCTCCCTCCTAAAACCTTCCTAAATCGTAAGCCCTGCGCTCTCGGTACCCTAAGTGCTACCAACTGCCCTAGCTCAGTTGGTGCACCCCCCCTGAACGAACTGTTGAAAAAAAGACCAAGTGCTGAGTTCGAAGTTCGAACTCCACTGGAAGCAGATGAGTAAAATTATACTACAACTCTGAATTACGTAGGGTCGCTCAGTTTGGTGATGATATTTCAAGGCTGCCACCTTTTATAAAAAAGAAATGAGAGGTTTAAAAAGAAAAGAGAAGAAGAGGGAAGAGAAAGAAGAAAAAAGCAAAACGAAAAAAGAAAGAAAGAAAAAAAGATCCCCTACTTGGAAGTCCTACTGACCACAACGGTGGGGGGTTTGGTGAGCCACAAAAATCACTCAATCTTTCATTCAAATTTCAAACACATTTCAAATGGATGACGATACCAGCAAATCTCAATGGACATTCCACCGGCACAAGTCACTAAAAAAAAAACAAAAAAAAACAAACCGATTTGAGAGGTAGACGCCTACTAAATCAAGTCCCAAACTCGATCGAAGGTAATTTCTTTGCTAGCTACGTTGACGAGCATTTTCCCAAATTTCACACTGTGGTTGGCTGATCCGCATCTAGGAATTATCGTTGCATCAACAAAATATTGAGAAGATTGAGTTACTCGGGCAGCTATGTCGACATCTACAGATCTTATATCTTCAGAATAACTTGATATCCAGACTAGGTGAGGATATTGTTCTGCCCCTTTTTTTTCAATTTTAATTTTTAAACGATTTTTTTATTTTTTTTTCACAACATGCCTCCTTTTATATTCTGGGGAGGTACCCGTCCCATAACTTCTCTCGCCGGCAAACACGAAAACAACAAGATCTTGGACGTAAAGAACATAGGGCCTCAAGGAAACTGAAGAAGCAGCGGGAGACCGATGTGGAAGTAACAAGATCTTGAACTCTCTCACTCTCTCTCCCTCAAGGAACATAGTCCAGAGAGAGAGAGAGAGAGAGAGAGAGAGAGAGAGAGAGAGAGAGAGAGAGAGAGAGAGAGAGAGAGAGAGAATCATTTTTGACATGCAGGCATGTGAGAAGTAAAAAGAAGGCAATCCTTTTCCCTTTTCTCAAAAAGGCATATTCAATCTCCTTTGCAAGCAGCCTTCTACCTACCTGCACACCAATCTGAAGCAAACAAGTTTGGGAAAAAAAGCAAAAACCCATACCCAAAGTCAGACTTTTCCGAGAGAGAGAGAGAGAGAGAGAGAGAGAGAGAGAGAGAGAGAGAGAGAGAGAGAGAGAGAGAGAGAGAGAGAGAGAGAGAGAGAGAGAGNAGAGAGAGAGAGAGAGAGAGAGAGAGAGAGAGAGAGAGAGAGAGAGAGAGAGAGAGAGAGAGAGAGGGAGATTGCAAGCATTCGACACGGGGTGACACACGGCATCCTCCTCTCTCTCATGCGTGTGTGAACTCATGTGCAGGTGTGTATGCTTGACACGGGGTGACACACGACACCCTCCCCTCTCTCATGCACGTGTGAAGTCATGTGCAAGTGTGTATGAATGAGAGAGAGAATAACAGGGGAGGTGCGCTGCGCATTGCTATTCTCTATCTGTCCACGCACAAGTGCACACACACACACACACACACACTCACACACACACACACACACACACACACACACACACACACACACACACACACACACACAAGAAAACAACAACAAGAACAACAACAACAACAACAATAATAATAGGAAGAAGGAGAAGGAGAAGGAGAAGTAGCATTTCATGAGTGCTGGTGCTGATTGGAGATAAGGACGACAAGGAGGAAGGTGGATGGAGGAAGAAGAGATGGAAAGGGGCAGCGGCCACCATCGGAGCATCACACTCCCAGTCGCATGAGGGGGGGCTGGAGGGGAGTGGGAAGTGCACTGCCCACTGGCTCGTCAGTTCAGCTCGCAAAAGACTGGTCCAGCTGGCCTACCAGTCCACTTTTTAACCGGGCAGTTACTGCTCTGGCAGTCTGGACAGTCACTGCTCTGGTCCAGACTGCCAGAGCAGTAACTGTCCGGTTAAAAAGTGGACTGGTAGGCCAGCCGGACCACGACGTGACCAATGCTACCAGAACAGGTACTGGACCAGTACCTGGTCTGCACCTGGTCTGTTGCTGGCGTAACTTTTCTGGCTGCAAGCTTTTGATTGGTTCCATTGCTAACTAAATATTAATAAATATACACCAAATTCTGCTTTGGGAAGTTTGGGTGCTTCTAGAAAGGTGTACGTAGAACAAGCTGGTACAGACACACCCTCCCTGTAAAGCTTAAAGTGATGAATGAAGGATTCCATGGATTTTTTAAAACTTTTTTTGCTATCTTCCTCTTTTTCTTCTTCTTTCTTTCTTTCTTTCTTCTTCTTCTTCTTCCTTTTTTTTATGTTTTTTTTTTTTTTTTTTTAATTTTAACTACGCTATATTCTTCTCGCAAATCTTACATCATCTTCCAAATTCTTTTTCAATTCACCTTCACTACCTACCTGCCACTACTCCTAAGGCTTATACAGGGGACCCCTGCAAACATAGCTTTGTTGTCTCCCTCCAGCCATCAGAGGGGATGCATGTTTCCCCCCGCCTCAATCATGGGCCCAACCATGGGGGTCAAGGGTGGGGTGGGACCGCCGGTGGGGTTCCGGCTAACGCAAAGACTGAGCACTTTGCCAGTAGCTGCGCCTCCCTCAGAGTTTGCGCTGGAACCGAAGTTTGGGCTGGAACAAACTCTGGCCATACATATTTGTTTGGCTTCTCGCAAGTGGCATTCAGGAGGTCTTGGGTTCAATCGGCAATGCCTCATCAGCCTCATGTACCTTCCTGGGCATACTTGGCACCCACCACCTAGAGATAGACCAGTGGATCCCCGGATCCGCATTGAGCAGAGGCTGCTGATCCTCGTAGCCTCGTAGGGGAGGGGATTGGTCCCTTGACTCCCTTGGCATGGTCCCTGATGCTCCCTGCTGTCCCCTGGCCGGTATCGCCCACCTGGAGGTCAGGCGCAGCCCCCGCCTGTTCCCTCATTTGAGGCGTTGTGAACTCGGGCTGGCTGCTACGGGCGGGTTCCCTGTAATACTATAAGAGCATACTCACACTAGGTAGCCCCTCAAAATAGCGAAATCACAAAATGAGCGGCCACATCGAGTCCTTGTAAAAAAGGAAGGACTAGATCTGGCCGCTCATTTTGGGATTTAACTATTCTGAGGGGCTAGTGTGAGTGTGCCCCAGTAGGAGTAGTGGTAGGTAGGTAGTGTAAGGTGGAAATTTTCTACACGGTGAGGAACTTCCCTGGTCCTTGCACGGCCGGGCCGCCCGGGCAAACAGGGTGACTCGGGTGGCCTGGCTGGTAGCCTTTAGTAAATTATCAACTTATTATGCTGTGCCAGAAAAAGACAACTGCAGTGGCTGGCAGCGCTTCCCAGAAGGGAGACACGTTGCATTATCCCTTTGTGTGCCTAAGCTGGGTGAAATCATTCTCATCTCTCGTCTCTGCTCTCTTTGCCCAAGAGCTCAACAACAGGTCAATGAATCAACGATACAACTTTTTTTTTTTTTTTTTTTTTTTCCTTCTCTGATCATCAATCAATGTCATGAGATGTAAGCTGAGCAGAGGGGGAAAAAAGAAAGAAACAGAGAGAGAGAGAGAGAGAGAGAGAGAGAGAGAGAGAGAGAGAGAGAGAGAGAGAGAGAGAGAGAGAGAGAGAGAGAGAGAGA